AATCATATTTGGAGAAAACATTTCCAAATCCATCTACCTGGTAATAAATATAGAATACAAGTCAGTCACAAACTTCACCAATAATACATTACATGCACAGTTTCTTCCCAGATCTTAAAAATCTATAAGCAAGGATAAGGAATTCTTCAAAAACAAGCAGTCTAACTTAGGAAAGTCTGCTCTTTACACATGCTGTATATGGGGAGACTGAATCTGACTATCACAGATTCAAGTGAGCCATCATGTAAATATCCAAATTCTAAACAGGAGAGGGAAAGCCCTGCAGGATGACACACAGCAGCAGGGACTAGCCTTAAATTGAACTGGCCTGTGAGCTCTGGGACCGAAGTCGTATTGTTTAACCACAACCCTAACAATTTGAACAAGCCAAATATACATTAGCTGAAAAGAAAAAAATTAAAGAATACATTAACCAGCAACTTAATTTTAGTTTTAAAACATCAATCTTTTTACAATCTGAGCTATTTGTTCAAACAAACAAAAACAATCTTTTAAATTACATCTAAAAAGTTTAATACCATGTTTAAAAGTTTTGTTTACCTGCTGGGAAAATATTTATTGCTATTTAGAAGACATGCAGCACCATCAAGTGTATGTCTTGTATAGTCTATAGCAGGACACTGCAAAAGAAAGAATATGAAAAGGTATCAAGAAAAAGCTCTACCTCTGAGATTATGTATATTTATTACATGCGTGCTTTATTCCAAAGACACGAGCATATTCTAAGAAAAAAGTCCCTCAAAACTTCAGAATAACTGTAAAATACAATGTTAGATCAATAAATAAGGCCTTATTATCCCCATTAACTATAATGTCAGGATTCTAGATGATACATGAATCAGTCTCCCATTTTTATTCCCAAAATTATACTTAGAAGAAAACATTGCTTAGAGATCAAAAGAACCCTTCTGACTTTACAAATGAGGAAACTGAGGCTTTGAATGGTTAATGACTTATGCAAGATCACACACGTGGGAAAAGGGATTCAAAAACAGTAACACGGATATACTGATACCTATCCAACGATTTATACTTTACCAAGCAGCCCAGAAGCCTCCTTCACTTCACAAATATCTCTAGGGATCAGTGCCTTCTTATATCCTAGAAAATATCCCTCATTATGTTCTGGCACTCTATTACCAATCTAGCAGCTTTCTAAAGAACTTTCTCCTGAAACAACTTTGAATTTTAACATGAATTTTCAGAGTTTCTTTGTATTTTAATAAATCTGTCTTATCCTAGTCCATTTATCAGAAATAATGAAACTTATTGTCTCACTGCAAAACCAGTAAACAGTCTCGCTCTGTCTCCCTGGCTAGAAGGCAGTGGCATAATAATAGCTCACTGCAACCTCAAACTCATGGGCGCAAGCGATCCTCCCGCCTCAGCCTCTCAAGTAGCTGGGCTCACAGGCGCATGTCACTGCGCCTGGTTAATTTTTCTATTTTTAGTAGAGATAGGGTCTTGCTCTTGATCAGGCTGGTCCTGAACTCCTGAGCTCAAGCAATCCTTCTACCTCAGCCTCCCAGAGTGCTAGGATTACAGGTGTGAGCCACCACATCTAGCCCCTTATAATTTTCTTAATAACATCTTTTCCTTAGCTTACTTCATTGATATAATACATGTAACCTACAAAATATGTGTTAATCGACTATTATGTCACCAGTAAGACTTCCTATCAACAGTAGGCTTTTAGCAGTTAGATTTTGGGGGAGTCAAAAGTTAAACGCAAAGTTTTGACTGTGAGGAAGGCCGGCACCCCAACCTCCCCACCCCACATTGTTCGAGGGTCAACTATATAATGCAAGCCACACACTTAATTCTAACTTTTCTAGCAGATACATTTAAAAAGGAAAAATAAACAGGAAAAATTAATTTTAATAATTTATTTAACCCACTATATCCAAAATATTACTATTTCAACCGGTAATTCACACAAAATTATTAGTGGGCTATTTTTTTGTCTTTTTAAATTAAGATATAATTCATATGCCATAAAATTTAATCTTTTATTAAATTCAGTAGTTTTTAGTATATTCATGAAATTATGCAATCATCACCAATTCCAGAACACTTTCCTCACCTCAGAAAGAAACCCTGAACCAATTAGCAGTCACTTCCCATTCTTTCTTCCCACCAGCCCTAAGCAACAACTAATTAATCCTACTTTCTGTCTCATGGGATTTGCCTATTCTGGATATTTTGTTAAAATGGAATAAGATAATACATGGCATTTTATGTCTATCTGGTTTGTGTCATTTATGTTATCAAGGCTCATCCATGAAGTAGCATGAATCAGTACTTCATACCTTTTTTTAATTCAAAAACTTTTTAGTCTTTAATGTTTTCAATATCTATCAAATGCTACAATATATGTCTCTCCCTTTACAGATTTCATTCCTTTTTATGGCTGAATAATATCCCATTGTATGCATATACAGTCAACCCTCTACCTCCACAGATTCAAATAATCACAGATCACAAATATTAAAAAAAAACACAATAACTATAATTAAAACCATACAAATTTTAAAATACAGTATATACCAATTATTTATACAACATTTACATTTTATTAGGTATTATAAGTAATCTAGAGATGATTTAAAGTACACAGGAGTGGCCAGGCACTCCTGTAATCCCAGCACTTTGGGAGGCTGAGGCAGAAGGATCACTTGCGGGCAGTTCAAGGCCAGC